ATGTTTGAGTTTCTGATTGACAATATCTATGTAGTTTTTGGAGACCAGGTCTTCCAACAATCTATTCGAATTCCCATGAGTGCCAATTGCTTCCCATTATTAGCTGACCTAATTTCGTATTCATATGAAGCAGAATTTGAGCAATCTTGTACGTGAAAAGAAGAAAACACTTTCTGTGTCCTTCAACTCGACATTAAGATAAGACGTATTGTCAATAAACAATGGTAATTTCCATTCTGATGTCGAAAGGATATATCCTTGTGAGCTTGAGAAAAAAGATGCCACAGAGTCTGACACATCTGTTTCATATTTGGATAGTTTGCTTGAAAAAGACGTGAACAGTAATCTGACAACCAAGCTCTTTGATAAACGTGATGAGTTTAACTTTTCTATCGACAATTTCCCTCACTTTTGCAGCAATATACCTTCATCACATCCATACGTAGTTTATATCTCTCAGTAAATTCGATACGCAAGAGCATGCTATACGTATGATCATTTTCTAATACGAGGTAAATTATTGATAAATAAGTTGATGAAACAAGAATTTCAGCAGTTTCATTGAAAGTCATCATTTTGTTAGTCCTATGGTCGATACAATGACCTTGCCAGGAAATACAATTTATCAATTGAGTCAAATGCTGATTGACGTTTTTCATACTTATTGTTTGTCCATTCTATACACATTGAATTGACAACGGGTTTTCTCGTTTTTTTCATATCATTACAAGGAGAACACGGCGGATGTGACCGTCAGCAGGGGATGCTCACTCCTCCATGGCACCTGATAACACCTCTGATGTTTTGGAGGACTACCTTTGCTCTGCTCTTATTTTGTATAGTTTTATGGACTTTTGATCTTGAATACTGTTCGTTTTTTCCATTTGTTTCATTGATTAGTGGAGGAGGATGACTGTGTTTTGAATCTTAATTAAATCAATAATAAATGTGAAAATATTGCCTTAAAGGGTTAAAAACAAAACAGCCTGACATTTTAAGAATGATTTAAGCACTGTCAATGGGACAACGGCGTCGAAATGTAAGCACCAATACATAACCCGGAAGTGTTCTGGTCAGGTTTTCAGACGCATGCAGTGTTAGGTTTGGCATTACAATACCTTCCTATTCAAATAAATAGGTTAGGCTTGCTTGTATTCAAATGTTAAAATTAGAAATAAACACGTTAACGTGCCAAAATCTGTGCTACGAAATAACTGACAGGTAATTAGGGATTCCGAAGCTCTAAACTCTAGCAGAAACTTTTTTGGGCTTGGAGAAAATATGTCGTATAAAAATGTGCATATTGTGACTTTTTCATTCATTTATAAGATATATTATAGCGTACCTGCCTTATTTCCTCGGGAAAAAGAATGATCAAAGACAATTGACTATACTGAATATTTGTGATCAAAGATCACTTGGAAAATTAATGAAAAAAAATTCAATTTCTTATTCTTTGGGTTATATAATGATAAAAATATTTTTTACAAAACTTGTTATTTTAAAACTGCAAAAAACAATTTTAACAAGAACACTGATAAGCGGAGCATCCCTTCGAGGCATGAACTTCGCCGGCAATGGCAATATCCCATGATAGATAAATTGTCTAGAGAGGCGTTTGAGATTGAATATTTATATTCAGTGAAATTTTCCTTATGATTATCTATTAGAAATCCACGACGTTCAGATTTCTATAACACATTCGAAACCATGTCATCGAATACACAATAGGAACTACTAGTATATATGCATTTTCAATACTCTAGGGAGACCAAAATGCACAATGTTTTATTTCAATTTACTGAAAAACTATAACCATGAAAAATTACACATGTAACGTAAAATACACCAAATGTGCGTTTAAAATTCGACATGGACCCTCAGGCGGGCGGTGTTAAAGAGGATACAAACATCTAACTAGATATCATTGAGATGGTGGCCATCTCAAAGGGCCCCGCTTTCAACAATGAACATGAAAATGTAAGGTAGTTTAAAAGGGTTTATTTTGAAGAGGAACATTTGTGTAATAAAGTAAAAGTCATTTAGTACGACTTCACGGATATTGCGAATTTACAGATATATATCGAAGTTATCTTGTATCCCGTTATATAAATTAACTGGAATTAAGGTGAAAAAACTATGCTCCAAACAAAGATTTTAAACAAAGAGGCTAATTCTGAAAATGACCTAGAAACTTCGACCAAAGTCACTGCACATCCAATGACCAGTGGCATTCTGTGAGTAAAGTATGAGCCAGATTGGGCCAAGGAGAGAGAAGATAAGCTACGGTCAAGAACAACCAAGGTCACTGCACATCCACTGACCGGTGGCACTCTGTGAGTGAAGTATGAGTCAGTTTGGGCCAAGGAGAGAGAAGATATGCTCTGGACAAGGATTTTTCATATAATTCTGCTATGAACTTGACCTTTGACCAAGAAACATGGTTCAAGGTGACTGCACACCGGTTACCCAAAGGTACTCTATGGGTGAAGTATCAGCCAGATTGGGCCAAGGAGACAGAAGATATGCTCCGGACAAGGATTTTTCATATAATTCTGCTATGACCTTGACCTTTGCCGTAGAAACATGGTTCAAGGTCACTGCACACCGGTTACCCAAAGGCAGTCTGTGGGTGAAGTATGAGCCAGATTGGGCCAAGGAGACAGAAGATATGCTCCGGACAAGGATTTTTCGTATAATTCTGCTATGACCTTGACCTTTGACCTAGAAACATGGTTCAAGGTGACTACACACCGGTTACCAAAAGGTACTCTGTGGGTGAAGTATCAGCCAGATTGGGCCAAGGAGACAGAAGATATTCTCCGGACAAGGATTTTTCGTATAATTCTGCTATGACCTTGACCTTTGCCCTAAAAACATGGTTCAAGGTGACTGCACACCGGTTTTCCAAAGGCACTCTGTGGGTGAAGTATGAGCCAGTTTAGGCCAAGGAGACAGAAGATATTCTCCGGACAAGGATTTTTCGTATAATTGTGCTATGACCTTGACCTTTGACCTAGAAACATGGTTTAACGTCACTGCACACCGGTTACCCAAAGGCACTCTGTGGGTGAAGTATGAGCCAGATTGGGCCAAGAAGAGAGAAGATATGCTCCGGACAAGAGATCTCGGACGGATGGACGGACGGACACACATTTGGTTATATATTGGGTACATCAAGTCCAAGTCCTATTGGATACTGCTTATTGGATACAAAAAAAGTGTACACACGAGAGAGCATTATTTGGGTAGTTACTGTTCAAATCTTATTGGATATTAATCCTCGTGTCCGTATTTTATTGGGTTTTTTCTTATTGTTTTTTATTCATTTCAAATTTATTTTATATTTAATATTTGCTGGTAAATTCAGACAAGACTGAAAACCTTTGGTTTTGAACCCATATTTTTGTCAATTTCTGTGATATATCTCTTTTATTGTAACACCTAACTAATTTGTTCTTAGCAATAAGGATATACACCTGTATATTTCAAAATAACTAATATTAAAATATATGAATACCTAAGTGCAAAAAAACTGAATTGTGAAAACACAACTCAACACATCTCAGACTCTGTTCAACCTTTCTTGAATAACAAAATTAAGTATTTAAGGAGAAACCTTTTTGAGTCATGACCAATTAACAATTAGCAAATGCCCATTACATGTTGGGCAGAATGAAGGTATCCAACAGGCTTTGGACAGGTGTCCTATACCTGTTGGGTTGTATTTTGAAGAAGGGATTAAACTACCAAAGAACAATTGAACATGTGTACATTGTCCAATTCCATTTGGGTTTCTTGAATCTCCTCATTAAAATACAACCCAACAGGTAATGGACACCTGTCCAACTCCTCTTGGATATCTACATCCCACCCAACAGGTAATGGACACTTGTCCAATTCTTCTTGGGTTTCTTGAATTGTTTCATCAGAATACCACCCAACAGGTAATGGACATCCGTCCAACTCCTCTTGGATATCTACATCCCACCCAACATACAATGGACACTTGTCTAATTCTTGGGTTTCTTGAATCTCCTCATAAAATACAACCCAACAGGTAATGGACACCTGTCCAACTCCTCTTGGATATCTACATCCCACCCAACAGGCAATGGACACTTGTCCAATTCTTCTTGGGTTTCTTGAATTGTTTCATCAGAATACCACCCAACAGGTAATGGACATCTGTCCAACTCCTCTTGGATATCTACATCCCACCCAACAGGCAATGGACACTTGTCCAATTCTTCTTGGGTTTCTTGAATTGTTTCATCAGAATACCACCCAACAGGTAATGGACATCTGTCCAACTCCTCTTGGATATCTACATCCCACCCAACAGGCAATGGACACTTGTCTAATTCTTGGGTTTCTTGAATTGCATCATCAAAATACAACCCAACAGGTAATGGACACCTGTCCAACTCCTCTTGGATATCTACATCTCACCCAACAGGTAATGGACACTTGTCCAATTCTTCTTGGGTTTCTTGAATTGTTTCACCAGAATACCATCCAACAGGTAATGGACATCCGTCCAACTCCTCTTGGATATCTACATCCCACCCAACAGGCAATGGACACTTGTCTAATTCTTGGGTTTCTTGAGAATCCCCTCATCAGAATACTACCCAACATGTAATGGACACCTGTCCAATTCCTCTTGGATATCTTCATCCCTTCAATAGTATATAAACTAAAAGGTATTGGACATTCTTCTTGGGTTACTCAAATTTTTTTCATAAGAAAGAAAACCCAATAGGTATTGGACATTGGTTCAACTCTTCTTGGATATTACATCCCAACATCAGAATAAAACCCAACAGGTGATGTTTATCTGTCCAATTCTTCTTGGGTTACTTATACCCTTCATTAAAATTGTCAAATTTGTCTTGGATATTTATACTCTTGCATTAGATTGCAAACCCAATAAGTATGACATTTACCTTCCCTAGTTGAATTCAAATTTATCTGCATAAGCATACATAAGTCCAAAACATATTTAATACTTTAATTCTAACATTCCACATCTCATTCAGTGTACACTTTACAAATGATAGGAAATATATAAGCATTTTGTGCCTAAACTATTTGGCTTTTAAAGAATTTTATAACCATGTTTGCAAAATTTAAATTTAAATATTGGAACTTGGAGCAAGTCATTACAGGTAGAGCAAGATGCTGAAAACCATATTGATAAATAGATCACACCCTTGATAAAATATTTGCCTTCAGTTGCTAAGATTGTGTTGTATTATATGGAAAATTTCTATAATCCTGTTTATTACAGATACATGTACAATACATATTTTCCCTGTAATAATAAAAATACTTCTGGGATGTAAAAGAATGGATTAAATAGTCACCGATGTTAAAAGATATTACATGATCTCATTAATCTGGTTTGGAAATCACAAACTTAGTTTTGAAGCCGATAAAACAGTGTCGCACCAGAAAACTCAGTTACAAGTACAATGAATGAATTCGTTGTATCAAAACTTTAAAATAATTGATGCACTATGTCCAAATCTTTTCGACAAATCGGGATAAAGATATTAAATCAAATCATCACTGTTATAAGTCTTAGAGCTAGAGAAAAGTCATTACATGCCCAAATTTTACATGTAAGACTTTGATCCTATATTTCAATAAATGTCAAAATGGTTTTATTTTTGTTTCTGTTCAATACTTTCTTCTTCAGGGTCTCTCATGGCCTATACTGTATGATACCTCCATTGACCCTGCTCTTTTATATTGCCATATGTTTATCCAGTAGCAGTGGTTATGCTCAGGCAATCTTTGAAATATTCCTCATTTCATGCATCTCCTTCAGTTCTGCCTCTGTCCATTTTATTCATTCTGCAATTAGATAAAGGCATTTCTTTGCCGTATAAAACATGTTTTTCTTGACTACAGCAAGATCACCCTTTATGTTGATCAAACCCAACCAAGAAGTAGAAGTATATTTCTTATTCAGAAATATGTATTGATAAATAAAATGGAAGAAAAACTAAATTCTATCAACTCTTTTTTTTTTCTATGTCTAACTGCATCTTCATCATACCCCCCATCCGCCATAAGTTTATCAAAATGGAATCATCATTCAACACACAAAACGATGTTGCATATTAATTAGACAGTATGTTAGTTTCTGAGTGTTAAGAAGTAGATTTTAAAAAGATTTTACACCTATTCCTTGCAAATTTTAGACTTCTAATGTAACACTATCAGTACATTAGGGGTACATAATCTTCAAAAACATCTCTACACTTAATGATAAAGCTTTCACATTAGTATTGTTTTTAGCGCAATGGTTCTGCTAAAGAGGATTTTAAATTGACCTAAACCTTACTAACTGCTTTGAAATTATATTGACAGGGACAGAGACACACTTGACACTCCATCCCCCCTTCCTGGGGTATGCTTTGCACAAAATTTAATTAAAATTGACTAAGCTGGATAGAAGTTGAAAATATGAAAAATTACAGTCAAACAGATTATGAATAACTTTCAGCACATCAGACATGAAGTAGTGATCCTTAAATAAAATACACCTACAAGATGAAGCTGTTTTATTCCTTTGAAGTGATATCTAGTATTGTTTCTTTTCCTGTATGCCACCTCTATCAGAACAAAATGTTATACATGTATTAACATAACCTATGACCATATAGTACCCCAGTATTTACTTTACAATTAATTAAGTTCTGGAACCAACCCTCAGATGCCCTTAAAACAAATGATTCTAAACTGGCAAAGGTAAAGGGCATCTGAAGAATTTAAAATAAAATGATAGTACAAACAAGCAAACAGTGTGCATGAAAATGTTGGCAAACACTAGAAAAAAATACTAAGGTACTTTCTCAAACTTAACATGAATACTAAAGAGGTTTTATGTAGCTGTATTGCACATACCAAAAGCTTTCCTGCAGTTAAAGGTTGGTTGCCTAGTAGTTATGTAGTATGTACAAGTTTTTCCCTCTATCTCTTCTAAATTTAAGAAGCGAAAATGTCTCTAAAAATCTTATGGTTGGCATGAAGTATTCCTGTTCATTTTACTGATTACTTACAATTGTCCTATTTCTGAGGGTCATCTTCTGATGGGTGTGTTCTCTGCAATGTTCACAATTGAAGTTCCTGTTTGACCTGTTACATATTGAAAATCCTCAATGAACATGATTATGGTTTTAATTTCCATTGTAATTATTGATTACTTTTATTTAAAAAAAATCTAAACCAATTTATTGTAACATAATACTTAGGAAAATATTTATGAAATATCAATGGAAAAAAGGAATCATTATCTCCAGTTATCCTATCACAAGTAAGCATTAATCATATAAATTCACATACGTAAACCCATTAGCTTTTTGTGCTATTAAATCATAGTCATCGCTGTGCAATAAAGGAAATCAAGTACTAATCCACAGCTTTGTGGCAATAAAGTTACTATCCCCGAGTAAAAAGTGACAAGCCCAAATATAGAGGCAAAAATTAAAAAGTAACATTGAAAAAAAGTTCATCGTGAAAAAAGTCAGGGGCCCGTTTCATCAAAAGTCGTAAAGTTAAGCCTTAACTTAGGCGTACTTCCGGGGATTACGCCAAAATTTAGTCGGGCGTAATTTGCGTTTCACCAAGTGGCGTAAGTCTAGTCGTAAAAGATACGCTTAGTCACAGGACTAAGTCCTTGACAACGTTGCATTGCGCAGGCGCAAAAACATAAACATTGCCCAAAGCGTACAAACATGTATAAATTGTAGCACGTCAAAGTACAGAATAACACAAGTTATAGATAAATTAATACTTGCACTAATTGAAACATGCATGGGTTTATAGTGTTATGTAAGAGACATGCATCTTTTAAGAAACCAATTTTAGTTTTTTACAATATTTCAATAATAAAAGTCTAATAAATTGAAAGGATGAAAAGGACAGTACATGTACTTGTATTTCGGAATTAAGCAAAACTATTCATTTTGGAAATTTAATTACAGCCATACCCCCTCTTCCCGAAATTGATACAGGTTAATAACTTCGCCTTTGATAATAAATTTCATGATTCGATAAATACTGATTCTACTGACAAATACTAATAATTAAGTTTGAGACAGAATAAAATTTAAAAATTTTAATAAGAAATGTATATGCAAGCAAAAATAATGAAAACAAAATGCAAACGGTTTACTTAAACAATAAAATGCTTTCTTTGTATGTTATTACATGTACTGGAATTATCGGAATCAGCTGTTGCAGAAAAAATTTACATAACCCGCTTAAGCGGGTTATGTAAATTTTTTCTGCAATAGCTGCGACCGTTCATTCCAGTAATAACAATCAAAGAAAGACATTTTATTGTTTATATTTATATCTGTTTAAATAATTATTTAAAGTAGGATTAAAAAGATTAATTATTGTATTAATGATGCGAATGTCTTTATACGTTTCATTGATAGAACAGCCACTGATCAAGAAATCTGTACAAGCGACATTCCGACTGTAGTTCATGCAGTGATAAACGCAATGGGTTTTCTTAAGAAATAAAGGAGAATATATTCAGCGGATGTAAATATATATGAACACATTTTGAGTCAAGAAATAAATTTTACACGTTTACTACTATGGTACATGTAAGATAATCCTGTCTATATTTATTAATTTTTTGTCAATTCAATTGATTCATAATTGTTCAGTTATAGAAAAAAATTCTTTACTATCTGCAGATTAAATGTGATGTACCGTTTCAAAAATACGCAGAGAGAGAGAGAGAGAGAGAGAGAGAGAGAGGTTTGGAAAAATGACTACAAAGATATTCTTACAAAAATTCTCTGCTTGTGTGGTCTCTGTCTTTAAAATTTAGTTACAGCTACTCTTTATTTTGTTTTCATTAAAATGTAAGTAATGCAGGAAATCAAAAACATGTATATTTTCATCTTATATGTGCTTTATATACGCTCACATGATCTTATACTATGTAAGATTTGCTCATTTAAACAAAATTATGAACATTAAAGATGTCTTCTGCATCAATGTTTGTCGGAGAAAAAAAAATTAGGAATAATTCATTCTTGAACTTAACTGTGTAATTATCACCATCTTACATCGATATTATAAAAGCAATAATTTATTACCACTTTCAAAAATCTCTTATTGTCTATGAGACCCCAACCCCCTCCCTGGGTTGGGGTCTATGATTCGCCGGGAACATCACTTGTCCCAGATACCTAGGAAAATACTTTTACTTTCGTCCTTAACTAAGTAATCTGTACATTCAATGTTAATTAATCTGCAAATTCGGGAGATTCTGAACCCTCTCTCCGACCCCCTCTGGATCCACGCATGTGGACGAGAAGTTAATAAGAAATGGACTCTTCAAACATGACAAAAACTATTTGGTTTTAAGATGGGTTATTTTTTTGAATTTTTTTCTTAAATGTAGAAAATTACATGAAAGATGATAACTATGCTTTTGAAACCGATTTTTTTTTTTTTTTTTTTTTTGTTTTTTTTTTTTTTTTTGTAATTTTTGTTTTTCAGAAAATATGCTGTTGGAAAATATTTTTCAAAATAGACAATTTTAATGGGTCTCTTTTTAGTAAATGAAAAAGAAACTAGAGGTACCGTAAGCAATGAGTTCAATAAAAGATATCCCCCCGCCTTCCGTATAAATATAATGGCAGTGTCCATGTTTTGCTGTGGGAAACCCAAAATATGTATCGGATCAAAAAGTACAATAAGGCACAATGGCAATATATAATAAAGATTCTGTGAAAAGTACAATAAGGCACAATGGCAATATATAATAAAGATTCTGTGAAAATTTCACCAAATTTCAATCAGTGATATGAAAGGAGTTGCGGATAGAGATGGGTACCCCCAAAGCGTAACAGATGGACGGACGGACATCCCGATTACTAAATAGTATATACATGTACATATACATGTACCGTCCCGCTTTTCAAGCGGGGTGTAGAAATACAGTTATATATGTAAATTGATTTACAATACCTTAGACATACAATACCACAATCAAATGTGTATGAATGCATTGTCAAAACGTAAGAAATCTCTAATAAAACAATCTTTTCTTCTCAGCAGAAATTTATCAAAATATTATTTGAGTACGTTATTACTCAAATCAACTACGTCCCCAAGTAGTTGTAACAACACCCCCCCCCCTCCCCCTCTTCATAATATGTATAATTAAATAATGCATTGTTTGTATTTTAAATTCTTCTTAGAACCTTACTTTTTCTTTAGAACTCGCTAAAATTAATAAAAAGGCCTTATTTTAACTTTACGCCCTAACTTACGCCTACCCATGAGTAGACGTAAAATTTTGGCCTAAATTTAGTCAGGCGTAACGATACGCTCTTTAATGAAATGCAAATATTCGTGCTAGTCCCGACTTTACGCCGGCGTAGCGCTACGACTGGGCGTACGACCTTTGATGAAACGGGCCCCAGGGTATTAACTACAGATGATTCTTTTTAAAATTAAAGTTTAATTTAATTTTCGCTGGTAAAATTTAATCATATATAAATTAATGATTTAAAAAAATAAAAAAAAAGATTTTAAATAATCCTTTTCTGGTCATTCACTAGTTCGTCTAATTAAAACGAAGCAAAAATCATATTGTTTTCATCTTGAATCATTTAAAGCCATATATGGCGTATGTACAATGAAAATTATTAGACTAAAATTATAAGAACTTATTATTTGTATCATTACTTTATATAAACATGATAAAGATAGAAATTTTCCGTAAATTACAAAATCTAAGTCAATTGCGTTATAAAGATATCAAAATTTAATTTGGATTCTCAGAATTTTCTCCGACTTGGAAGAAAATACAAAAGATTTGAATAACACATTACAGAAAAGATAAAAGCGTATTATTAGATAAAACGAGGTGTTCTCCGTGCTCCGAATTGTATGAAAAGCTTTAATTTAAATGTATTAACTATATTTCTTTACTTAATTTTGTATTTTTCAAAATATATTTTTTGATCAGTTAGGCCATATATGGCTTTTAAAAAACGCTACATAATTGCATGACACTTATCATTAAGCTGATTGAGTAAATGTATATACATGTAATTTAATAATGAGATATCTGTGAGGCATATAATTTTCGTACAAGCAAATATTGCTATATATATACGAAGGAAAGGGGGGAATTAAAATTAGGAAATAAAAGATCGTTTTTAAGTAAATCAGTCTTGTAGTACTGCAAAATGGATGCAGTTGTGGAGATTTATGGATAATATGAGCATGCTGTCTGGAATATTTCCATATTAATCAATTTAATAGCAAAAAATGAGTGAAAATACCGGTGGTGCTTTTCATGCATTACATGTGTATTTTAAAATTCTTAATAGCCAAAGGGGATTCCTCAGTGCAGAAAACCACTAGCCCCATCCTCAAAAATGGAAGCCCCGGGTGTAGCGCGATGCTAATTACACACCCATCATGTGAAATAGTTATAGTAGCCCTATATCAATTTCAGTATTGTTTTAAATTAATTAAAACAAATGACAAAAACAATAATTTGAAAAAAAAAAAGAAAAGATAAAGCACTGTTTTGACTGAAAGTTTTTCAGTAATACAATGAATCTCTTAAGTTAATATCAGATGAGATAAACTTACATACAATTATTTAGCTGTTGTCAATTATATTTATCATCATCTCAGCTCACTTATGCGATTGTAAAACTGTCCACATGAACCGATAATTTACAGCTGATTTATGAACACACGATTGTTAAAATTTTCATTTCCCTTTCCAATATACATTGTCAGAACATACTTAGTTGGTTATGATATAAAATTGAATAATAAACACTTTCGATTTATTAAAGATTATCTAACAATATACGATCATTTACTAAATACTTCTCGCCCTCAAAATGTATGCAGTTGTGGAGATTTACACGTGATAAATGGCACGTTGTCTGGAATATATCCATATTAGGGAATTTAATACAGTTTGAGTGAAAATTTACACGAAGGTCATTATCAATGCATTAGAAATAAATTTTAACATTCAAACAAATTGTTTTATTTCATAATTTACAGAAACACCACTTTGACCCATCTCAAAAATGGAAGCATATTAAATGAAAATTACACACCCGATCATGTGAAATAATTAATTTTGATTTATCAATTTTAGTATGTTTTAAACTTGAAATTAAAACAAATGATATATTTTGATTAAAAAAATATAATACATTTTTCACTCAGTCTTTGAAAATTTCAAAGACAGTCAGTAGGTCTTGTTTTACTTTTTTCAGATAATAAGATGAATCTTTACAGTTATTTTTCACGTCCGAGATAAACAAACCAACAATTATTTAGTTGTTGTCAATTGATGAATTTAATGCATCTTCAAATTCTTGTAATAAATCACAATAACCAATAAATTTGTAATAACAACTGATTTATATTAAAGTGAACACACGATTATTAAAATTTTTCATTTCCCTTTCCAATATACATTGTCATAAAATACTTAGTTGGTTATATCTAAAATTTAAACGATAAACACTTTCGATTTATTATCCGATTAAACAATTACAAAATTTACTAAATACTTTCGCCCTCAAGAGAGTTAAAAAGACAGAGAAAATTCAAAATACAAACAAGTGCAACTTAGGATTAATTGTTCCGATATATCTATTTTAATTTTGTGCACAATTGTTTTCAAAATTACATTAAAATCTATTTTCCTTAAACAAGAACCCAGCAATAGATAAATATTAATCGAATAAACGTACCTTTTCTCTTGTCAATCAGAAAATCTTGTTGACATTAAGTGTTTCTAAGTCGCCATATTTTTTTCCATGAAAACAAACGTTGTCATGATCAGGATCAACGGAAGTTGATTTTCGGAACTCTCGAGAATTTAGAGTTCCGAATGTAAAACTGAAACAACAAAACACGGTGCGTCCGTGAAAGCAACTTTTTTGGACACTTTTTTGGACAAATCGTCGTGTCCAAGTTTTGTTGGGTACTAACCTGCAAATACCCAATTAGGGTGTTTTAAGCATATTCAGCGACACTTCTTATTGGGTATACCCAATAAGCAAAAAGTACCCAATAAGTACAATCTTGGCATGAAAAATACCCAATAAATGCACTCTCGTAAACACGGCGCTAATAAATCATCAATTTCCGCCAATGTGTTTTAATTGGAAGAACAAAATATTTTTGATACAAGTTAGTGAAGTAACCAATTCCATTTTTATTGAAAAAAGCAGCTGTCAATATGATATCAAAAGCCTTATCATGTGGAGTGGTTATGTATAAAATTAAAAACTTGTAAATTTTGATAATAATACGAGATAATACAAGATATAAATGATATAAATTATTCGGACCCAGTCTTCTGCCAAACTTTTGGACCGGGTGGCACGCTCGTTAGAGTGTCTGAGGTAGTTCCCGGAGTAAGGAGTCGATCCTTACGTCACGAGTTCAAATTCACTACGGGACGTGGAGACCAGGGATCAAATGCATAAAAATCTGTATAAACCAAAGTCCCCGTGTCAAAGTATAGGTATTGGCAAGAAAGATCGCTTATTGCTCAGTGGCTCTGATTGTCGAGTATAGGTTAAAATTTGCAGCCCTCCAACAGCAAGTAGTGGTGTCTCCCCATGAGTGAAAAAAATTCTCGAGAGGGACGTTGAAAACTTAATCAACAAAACGAACAAATTTTTGGAATTCCGATGCGGATATCCAACGAAAAGGTAACAAAATTATCCATTTTATCAGTTGTCTGTGATGCAAAAAAAAGTCTTGTCTTATATTTATCTTGGGGAATGGTTTGTTAAAGTGATGAAAATCATGCATTTGTTTGCTATTTATGTTGGTAAAATTTTTAATTTAATTTTTTTTATAGATTTTTTAATATAAACATTTGATCCACACCAATATGGTTTTTTGCGGTTTTGCTAAACTTTCTTCTTTACTGCTGTTAATTTTTAATGATGAGTAAAGAAAGATATGGAGATAACGAACAGTATTCAATATCAAAGTCCATAAAAAAATACAAAATAGGAGCAGAGCAAACACGGACCTCCAAAGCATCAGAAGTTGGATCAGGTGCCATGAAGAAGTGAGCATCCAGGGGCGTAGCAACAGGGGGGGGGGGCAGGGGGGGGGCTGCCCCTCCCCACTTTTTCCCCCAAGCTTACATGTACTTATACTATAGGAAAATTGAAAGCCTGGTTGCCCCGCCCCCCCCCCCCCCCCCCCCCCCCCACACACACACTTTTAGTGATGTACCGAAAATATTGTATTAGATTTGGTACTGAAAGTAGTTGACAGGGAGAAAAAGTTTACCAACAATGTGATTGTAAAGAGTATTAAAAGTATCTAAAACTGACATATGACTTTTGAAGAATCTCTTCCCTAGAAACGAAACTGTCCGTTTATCTTTGGTTACCTCTTGAACAATTGAACCGCATTTTATGTAAAATGCAGTAGTTATTATTACAAACAAAGAATATTGTTACCTACTTTGTAAACGTGAATCAGTATACATTAATAATTATATATAACTAGACAATTCTTTTCTCACTATTGTACTTTTGGCTGACCGGTGGAGATGAATTGCTTCCCCTTTATGTACATGATCTCACCTTTGATGTTGCCAGGTGATCCGTGTTCAAGACTTGTATTTACTACTGGAGTTTTAATATTGATCACTGTTTGTTACCTTCGCTTTTTACATTTAGTCCTTTTTTGACAACCTGAAGGCAGAGGGATATTTAGTTTAAGGTTCATAAACCCTCTGCTCACTCATATAAAATGTTGTTTGAACCTTAATGATTTTCTAAAAGAGATGTATTTTTTAAGCAAAATACAAACAATTGTAACATAGCTTGCAGGGCAAAGTTGGACAAAAAAGACACTTCAACTTGGCAAATATATCAAGGAATAATAGACATTTATGTCATTAAGAGTTATCTCTCTTATCAGAGTATCAATGAACCTTAAATATTGTTACTGAATGGTTTGAAACCTAATTTCAATTTTCATCCTTAATATACTCTAACTTCATATCAATATTTTGCAATTTCTATGTTTGCAACCATAATCTTTCCTTCTTTCCCATGACTGTATTTTTGTCATGCAGACAACTAATCCGAAATATTTGAGGTTTTCCAGATCCTTTTTTACGATTTTGATATTTTACGTGCCAGGAAAACGTAAGAACCGGCGCCATTACGAAAACTGGAATTCGCGGCCTCCAACTGGAACACGTGCAAACCGAATTAAATTAAACTCACGACTTATCAATAGTACAATCGCCAACATCCTTTTAAGGTTCGTTTGTAAAAATATACAGGACGTTGAGAACATTTTATCTAGATTTCTTTCCATTTTGTGCATTTTAAAATTTGCAAGTATCGAAATGTGGAGTGATGTTTTCTTTTATATGATATTGGTGATCATTTTTCTATTGATAAATCGTGAGTTCAGCATTTAATTCGCATCGCAAGTATCGAAAATCAGCTCCGGTTGGAGATGGCTAAATTTCCAGTTTTCGTAATAGCACCGGTTCTGACGTTTTCCTGACACGTAAATTTGTGAAAGAAGCCTGGAAAAACTTAAAAAAGAAACGAAAGTAGAAAATGTTTGCTTTGCTTTCATACCGGTCTTCTCGTGCCCAGAATGACAATAATTCAGAATAAAGGAAAACAAGAACGCGTAGGCGGAGTTTATTTAAAGAGTCAAGGAATCGCTTTTTCCCTGCACGAAATAGATATAATATTTCACAATAACGAAGATATTGCATTGGTTTCTTACGATATATATATTTGGATTAGTTGTGTCACAAACTATACAACATAATGGAATCCATCATTCAAATTGGTTTATTTGTTGTCCTTCTCTTGGTTTATTCCAATGGAGACAAGATCCATCCATCCTTATCAGGTATACACTGTTTTTTTGTTACATGTTACTTAGATAATTAAAAAAACATTAAGATCATTCTTTTAAACGCTTATTTTCCCTTAGTTAAATGATTAAAAAAATAACTAATTACATTTTTTAATAAATATTGCAGCAAAACTTCATCAAAATCTGAAGACTTCCCGCTGGTCTTGGAAAAAAATAGGATCGAATATCAATATTAAACACCCTGTCTCACTAAAAGTGATTGTTGTTTCTACATTCAATGTATCTAAATTACCCAAGGATACATTACCCAATAGTAAGATTATGTTTGATATACGTTACTTATATATACCATAGTTTTATTGAGAATACATTGCATATACCTGTACATTTTTATAACCTTTAGTCAAGTACAAAAACTGTGCAACCATACTAAAGAAAAATCCGGGTCGGAAAGGACAGGATGGTGTATACACAATTTATCCGGATGGAAAACAAGAGAAGAAAGTTTACTGTGACATGACTACAGAGGGAGGGGGTTGGACGGTGAGGGTTAAATCTTAATTGATTCTTCTTTAGAAGCATTGTATTTCATCATACGGTATAATCTTGTTGGCTACGTCTGCAACCGTTTCTTTTTATGAAGGTGATTCAGAAAAGACTGGACGGAAGTACAAATTTCTATCGGACCTGGAATGAATATAAAGCAGGTTTTGGAGATCCTAGTAAAAACTATTGGATAGGTGTGTAGTCAGTCTAATGCTGTATCACGTTAAAAAAAAATAAATGCCTTAATTTTTTTGGATTTATTTGTCATATTTGATTCGAAATAAAATACCACGATCAAAGAGGTACAAGAAATTAAAAAAAATCTGCTAATTAATTCTTGATTCAAGTTTTCAGAAAAAAGTACAGGTATTTCTACTGTACAAAAGCGCCAAATAAACTTATTCTGCAACATTCTAAATTTTGTATTTACTCCCACCCATTAAATTCAAATTTTAAAACATGACACCAATGTAAAATATTTAGCCCCACTTTAAAATTTATTTGTGCAACAGTAAATTTCAGCATTACTGAAAATATTCAATAAAATCTTTGTTAGCTTTTGAGAATAATATAAATTTTATGACAATATTTATTTCAGGAAACGATAACATGCACCTGCTTACAAAAGAGGGAGATCAGGAACTTCGGGCTGATTTTGAGAAATTCAACGGTCAGAAATTTTACTCAAATTATTCAACATTTGCAGTAGGTGACGAACAAAACAAGTATGAACTGAGAGTGTCAGGCTACAGTGGTACAGCAGGTGATTTTACATTTAAATTTTATAATTCTAAAACAATTATCTTAAGCATGGTTTTAAATTGAAACAGAATGGAACACTCAATTTCTTCTCATAATAATTGAAAAGTTGAGTGTTTTTCGACAGGACTGGCAAAACATATGTCTAATGATTAATATTCTGCAATTAATGATAAGAAAAATTTAGATAATCACTTGTTAAAAAAAATGAATTACAACATACATGTATAATGATCATAAATAGTGTCCTTCACTAGAGTCCTCTGTTGATTTTTTAATAAGAGATTCTTAGAATTATTTTTAATAATTCTGGTTTTAATTATTACTTACTCTATATACTAGTATTAATTCTTTTCCCACCTTCGATGGTAATTGTAACATTTTCTTTTTTTAATGTCTAGGCGACAGCCTTTCTTACCATAATAAAATGAAGTTTACAACAAAAGATCAGGATAACGATATCAGGAGGAGATCGAATTGTGCAATAGATTACAAAGGAGCATGGTGGTACAGAGATGGTTATTACTCCAATCTGAATGGGATGTATGCTAGTTCTGCCGTGAAAGACGTCAAATATACAAACTGGTTCACGTTGAAAAGTAATCACGAAG